TGTGAGTCTGTACTGTGTGAGTCTGTACTGTGTGTGTCTACTGTATAGTGTGAGCCGTGAGTCTATACTGTGAGTCTGTACTGTGTGTGTCTGTACTGTATAGTGTGAGCTGTGAATCTACTGTGTGTGAGTATGTACAGTGAGTCTGTACTGTAATGTGTGTCTATACTGTACCCTGTGAGTCTGAGCTGTACTGTGCGTAGTGTAAGTCTAGACTGAGTCTACTGTGTGTGAGTCTGTACTGTGTGTGAGTATGTACAGTGAGTCTGTACTGTGTGTATGTACAGTCTTCTGTACTGTGTGAGTCTGAACTGTACTGTGTGTCTGTGCTGTGAGTCTATACTGTGAATCTATACTGTGTGAGTCTGCTGTACTGCGTGAGTCTGTGCTGTGAGTTTGTACTGTACTATGTGAGTCTATGGCACATGGTACTTGTGTCTATACTGTACTGTGTGAGTCTGTACTGTGCTGTGAGTCTATACCATGTGAGTCTGTGCTTTACTCTGTACTTGTGTCTATACTGTGCTGTGTGAGTCTGGGCTGTCCTGTGTGCCTGTACTGTACTGTGTGAGTCTGTACCATGTGAGTGTGAGTCTATACTGTACTGTGTGAGTCTGTACTGTGAGTCTATACTGTGAATCTGTACTTGTCTGTACTGTACTGTGTGAGTCTGTACTGTCAGTCTATACTGTGAATCTGTACTTGTCTGTACTGTGCTGTGTGAGGCTGTACTGTGCTGTGTGCCTGTACTGTACTGTGTGAGTCTGTACCATGTGAGTGTGAGCTGTACTGTATTTTCTCAGTATTGGATTAAATATCTAAAGTAGAAAAGAGAAGTCAGGCTGTGTTGCCAGTCCTGTTGTTCTCTTCTCTGTCTCCTGCTCTCCCAGGTTTCAGCATCATGGGGCTCTTCCGAGACCGAGAGACACACAGAATGTTTGGGCAACTCTTCCTCATCCTCTTCCTCATCCTCACGCTGGGCTGTCAGTCCTCCCAGACAAGAATGTTGAAATTTGTCGTAGCTGTGAGTGTTTTCACAATCCACTGCAGGACAGTCAAACACAAACAAACAAACAAACAAACAAACAAACACACACCGGCCCACCTGTGAGCCAATCATCTTGTAACACATCATCGAGAAGGGCAGGGGGCGTGTCCTCAGTGATCGCACTGAGAGCCTGCAAGCCTCTGGGAGTCCACAGGGGGCGCTGTGCTGCCCAGAACCTGTCTAATCTCACCTGCTTTCAGCTAGTGACGGGACCAGGGCTCGAACCCGCGCTCCTAGAGCTCAGCCCCCAGCTGGGAGTCTTGTGCTGCAGGAATACTGTCTGCCACTCTGTGTGTCTGTACTAGACTGTACTGTGGGACAGTCACTCTGTGTCTGTACTAGACTGTGGGACTGTCACTCTGTGTGTCTGTACTAGACTGTACTGTGGGACAGTCACTCTGTGTGTCTGTACTATACTGTACTGTGGGACAGTCACTCTCTGTGTCTGTACTATACTGTACTGTGGGACAGTCACTCTGTGTGTCTGTACTGTACTGTGGGACAGTCACTCTGTGTGTCTGTACTAGACTGTGGGACAGTCACTCTGTGTGTCTGTACTGTACTGTGGGACTGTCACTCTGTGTGTCTGTACTAGACTGTGGGACTGTCACTCTGTGTGTCTGTACTGTACTGTGGGATAGTCACTCTGTGTCTGGCTGTCTGTAGGTGTTTCGTCATGGTGATCGATCTCCAATTGAATCGTACCCTACGGACCCTCACAGAGACACAGCCTGGCCACAGGGGTATGGACAGCTGACTGAGGTACTTCTGGTACAAATGTCTATGTGACTGACTTGTCTGTACTGTTAATATGAATGTACATTAATTTCTCCATCGTGATCACTGCAGTGTCAAAGTACTGGTCTCACTTTCTAAGCAACAAAATAAACACATTGGGGGGAAAACTACACCTCCCAGCATGCCACACAGGAGACAGTGGCAATGAAGGTGGTTCTGGGAGCTGTAGTCTCTGTGGCAAAACCAGCT